GAAGTGGAGAAAACCGTCCGATGGGGTCATAAATCTGTGCGATGTGTTTTAGAACTTTTCTTTCTGTCCGTTCTACCTTCGGTAAGGGGATGGCGAGGGTGTCCTCTTCAATGATTTAACGTAGTCCTAGCAGTTTCTAAAGTTTTGGACTTTCACTTATTTGTTTTTATTGGGAAAGGTGTTGAGTTCTAGGGAGTTACTTGCATGTGCTCGTAGGTTCATTCCGGCACTGAGGAATAATGCGTTTGATTCTTTGTAAAATGTGACTCCATCGCCGACAGTGTTGACCTCATGGAAAACATTGTCCACATAGGTTTTTCGGAGAAGATATGAGCCACAGATGATATGCTTGAAGAAAAGTGGAAGTGTATTATGAGGGCTAAAAGAAAAGGGGAGCAAATGAGCTCGAAGGGAACTCGAGCGAAACGATAGGTTTCAAGGTTTTCTGCATTTGCGGGCCTCAGGAATCCTTCAGCCATAAAAAACGAGTGTAGTCGCGACAACCCTCCTTGAGGTCAGCCATGTGGAAGACCCTTTCAATGTCGCTTGAGATTAAGATTTTGTAAAATCAAGATCGGAGGAATATACTCAGATCGGGTAGGAGTACCTATCCGCGATGTAATATGTCATTGAGACTCAGATGCCCTTTGTCTTTGGCAGATCCATCAGATATGCATCTAATTTTCACATTTTCGCCATCTTGTTTGACGACTACGTGGTGCGACGTACATAGTGGCATTGATCACATGGGGTATTCGTGAGTTCCTCTCAACAATCTCCTTTTGTAGCTGGTCCTCAAAGATGATACTGTTGTAAATAGGATTCATTCTCTTGCAAGTATCGGTGTTGAGCGCAAACGAGAGAAGGCGAGTGAAAATGTTGGGCAATTGGGCTGGATTCGTTTTGAAAGGCAACTTGACGATGTATCTTTTCTGCATGTCATCATAATGCGCTGTGTTATTGAAGTAACTGGTACATTCTTCATCTTCCTTCTAGTTAGGATTATCCAATATTCCAACTGTTTCGAGTTTACAGAAATTGTTTACTATACTAGTTCTTCATGCTTAGAAGGATTTGCGTCGCTATCACAGGCAGCAGCCTGCACAATAGCACAAATCGTAGGTTTCTTACAATTAGTTTTGAAAACATGACCTACGATGATATTTCCAATCGTTGTGTGTAGAATTCGATAATCCTTCGAAGTTGCCTTGAAATAGAATTCTTCAGAGACAATGACGTCCCAGAAGTACTCATTACCTGCAAGTATGGGTGGCTTATACGTAGTGATGATTACGTTACCCTCTTGTTTATTTTATAGAAGGGGTATACGTTGTTTTCCTGTCAGCATCGGGTTCGATCCCGTTTCGAAACAAGGACCAATTGTATGGTTTCGGCAAGGGAGTTCCAACGACTTTATAAAGCGAAAAGGCTATAATCTCAATCCTCGTCTAGCTAACTGGAGAAAAGAAGCAACCTCCTCAGTAATATACGATCTACTGGACCCACTATCTAAGAACGCTGTTGCTGTAGTACGACGAAAGCGTTCATATGGATTGAACCTAATGACAGTTGCGCACATGAGCGCGGCTTGAGAAGAAGTGACAATGATCTGTGAGCATATGACGGGAAAACATTTGATTATAAGGCAGGTGGCGTCCTTCAGGATCGCAAAGAGGGAGTTGAGCTAGTTTGGTAAAACGGGTATGCCTCTCGCTCACCTGATCGTCATAAAGGTATAGAGATAAGATATCCATAGTCATCCCTTAATTTTCGGCAATCCTAGAGAGTCTTTCAATGGATTCCAAAGCTTTTCCATGGAGGCATGGCTTCAAGAGTTAAAATTTTGTGGTGTCATCAAGTTGCTTCTTGGTCACGAGAGTTCGAACCTGGCGCTAAATTTAGGAGATTCGTGCAGATTTCTATCAAATGTTGGCAATTCCAATTCTGTGAAAATATAAGCATCCACAAAATTCAACATTGATGTGCCAGACGTGAAAGCTGGAGGTGCTAGAACCGTGGAACGGCGTTTAGGCCTCTGCGATTATATCTTCGTTGCTTTCTTCGTGTGGAAGGATGACGTCAGAAACGTCAGATAGTGGATGAACGTGCCGTCTGACATATTCCGCATCAAGTATGTTCAAGCAAGTGTTAAGTAGCTCCAAATTAGTCAGCTGTAGTTACATCGTTTGAATAACCTCCATATTTTGTTATGTAGTCCTGGAAGACTTGAGTTTCGGCTGGACTGGCATTCTGGATGGAAGTCCATTCATCATGATGTTTTACGACCCGGTCATATGCCATTAACAGATTGGATTTGGTGGATACGAGCTCGAGGTGGAAAGATTATAAATCCCCATCCTTGAGTGGGTGAAGCTAGGTGGTTGCGTTGTACGCGATATTTCTTAGAGACATCAGTTATATTAGGTTGTAACAGAATTAATGCAGGTTTTGAATTCCAACCGCAATAAGTCATACACTTCTCATTTCTAAGTAGGCTGCAAATTACCATTCGATAGAGCAAAGCAATCTCTACAAGGTGGCATTCTTGCTTTAGCAACAACTCTGATCCACCACGAGTTTCGAGCCAAAAACTAAAAAGATTCAACTGTCCGAAAAATTGAGAAAAATCGTAACTCAGTTCATAAAAACCTACAAAAATTCTAACTTGCTCACATAAACACAATCCACATAAGGCACCTATACACGCCTTTGCCGTATTTTTTTCTCTGTTAGAAATCAAGAAAACGGAAATTTTCGTGCGTTTGCCAAAGTGATGCTGTGCCGTTCCCACATAAGTAGTTGTATACTACAAACCTGTAGAAGTATAAACGTGGGTTTCCAGCTCTCTACAAGCTTTAGTTCTCAAAAAAATATCGAATACAGTTTTCGCTAGTCATGTGGTCCAAGCTAATATTCAAATTTTTCGAGAACTAAAGCTTGTAAAGAGCTGAAAATTTACGTTTGTACTTCTACAGCTTTGTAGTATACAACTACTTATGTGGGAACGGCCAGCATCACTTTGGCAAACGCACGAAAATTTCCGTCTTCTTGATTTCTAACAGATAAAAAAATACGGCAAAGGCGTGTATAGATGTCTTATGTGAATAGTGTTTACGTGAACAAGTTAGAATTTTTGTAGGTTTTTTATGAACTGAGTTACGATTTTTCTCAATTTTTCGGACAGTTGAATCTTTTTAGTTTTTGGCTCGAAACTCGTGGTGGATCAGAGTTGTTGCTAAAGCAAGAATGCCACCTTGTAGAGATTGCTTTGCTCTACCGAGTGGTATTTTGCAACCTACTTAGAAATGAGAAGTGTATGACTTATTGCGGTTGGAATTCAAAACCTGCATTAATTCTGTTACAACCTAATAGAAGAGCAGTATCGTAGCAACTGCTTCCTGAAGAAGCAGTTTGTCGTCGAAGAGCTGCGCTGCTTTTCACTGGCATAAGTCAAGCAAAGGAAGATCTGGTCAATCTCACTACGTGGGCGGCAGGCTTGAGAAAAAAATGGGCAGATCCGCGCATATGTGACTTCTGGGGAGACCATGCCGTGCGTCGCCAGCTGTTTCGATCAGCGAGAGCCAAACGAGCCCAGGTTTACTGATAGTGGCGAAAAGCAGAGTAGTACAATCGAGGCATGCTTATATAGAGAACGCTCTCTCAACAGTGTGAATTATCTCATCAACGACGTTTTACAGCAATTACATAAACACCCTTTGACAACTGAGCATCTCATTATGGAGCTCGATGAGGACAGCGCACCACAACACATCATAAAAATTTCGCTGAATATCTTACAAGCATTAAGCGATATGAAAGCAAATAGACAACAAGGATTTAGCATAACCATTTTGCATCGTTACGAACATTCATCGCACGCTGAAAGTAGATGTCATTGCGTCCGATGCAGGTAGTACGCGTTTGAGAGAGGCAGCACGGCACAGGTTAGAAAGAAAGGTGCGTTTGGTCTGGGAGACGCCGACAGTGTGCGTGACGACCCGTCTCTGCGTGCGCTGCATCGCCTAAACAAGGCTTCTAACTTCAAAACTTAATTCTTGATATATTTTCAGGTCTATGGTCACGTGATTGTTAGACTTGGTTATAATTGAAATCCCAACAGTAGTCAATGTACTAATGATCATGGCAGCGTGGCACTGCATTTCTAAATTGTAGGCATTCACAGTATTCTCGATGTGCGCGCTGAATAGTTTAGAATAATAGAATAGACGGTGCAATTTTGTGGAGTCACAAAAATGTTTCAATCAGACAGTGGCGAACGTCGCCCAACAAAATCTGTTGACGGAATCGTTGGCAGTATTCGATTAGAGTATCATAGTATAGCCCTAGTAATACAGAACTAGCCGTATTAGACAAGAACAACATAAACAGAACTAGCTAATCATTAGTCATGGTGAATCTCGTCGGCGTTCTCAGCGTTTTCAACTGGAGCGAGTAGAGCGGACAAAGCATTGAATCAGCGCTGTGAGAGCGTCCATTATAATTCCGCACGATGAGCAGTTGCTTTTATTTCGATGCTTTTCTCACGGCTCCACAACGTGATCACGATTCCACGAAAAGATAGCGGGTTTTACATTTCTAATATATAAACCTTCGTGATCCAGATGTTGTGCAGCTGGCATACAAGTAACTAATTAAGAGTGAGTAACAGATACTATGAATTTGCAAAAACCACATAACCAACCAAAATAAAAACAATTACTCGTACTACAGGTAGACGAGTAATTGTTTTTGTTTTAGTTGGTTATGTGTTAGTCAGTAGAACACATTTCTACATTTTGTTAGGCTAGAAAATGCTTTACTGGGAAATTACTAGTATGGGTGCCGTCGCTAATAGCGCTTAGTGTGCAATCTCATATAAGTTACAAATGACTCGAGGTTACCACATACTATGAATTTGCAAAATACCAAAAGAACTAAACATTGTTTATGCAAAATCAGTCGTCCTTTTTATCCCTTGTAGATCATTCTCAGATCTCTATGGTGAGTGCTGGCTGCAATTGTACTTAACAAGATGTCCTATTCAGGTACGATAGTAAGCTTAGTGTCATCATGGAGAATCAGGTTTTTGCAGATGCATTCGATGATATCGAGTCAACAGATTCCTCCAGCAGAGCTCCATTACGAACTGCTAAATATGATATACCCATGGCGAATGCTGCAAATGCGACAAAGTGAGGATTAGATTTGTGCTGTTATCACTACACTTCTGTATATATAGGAGCTGTTGGGGGATCTATGTGAAACGCCATCTAACTCACCTAAGGTAATATTCTGTAAATAGCTGGCATACGGTTTCACACGAGTTCGATAGCTGGACCGTCAAGCGGTACACGCTCTTGAACAAAATGGCAGGACTTACCTCTCCGCCGATTTGCGCTTTACCTCCGTCTCTAGATAACTCGCTTTTCCTTCCTCTCCTAGACAGAATACAACCTGTGTTTCATGGGAATAGAGTGGTCTTCCAAGCCACTCGCATAGAGTCACCGCATGTATCGCCGAAAAAATGAGGTTTTTTGTCCCTGTTGAAATAACTGTGGTGAAATGACAGAATGAACGCAAGCTTTAATTTTTCAAGAAGTGAGTAAGCAATGCAACAATCAAAATAAGGATCCACGAATTTCCGTAAAGTAGCCTAAAACCGTGTCCGGAGTCGAAAACATCCGTGTGCAAAGTTCCAGCTTAATTGGTTCAGAAGCGGGCGTTTCTATAACGCTTTTATATACAAGGAAACAATGACAAGTAGCTGGCATATAAGCTCCTCCTGGCCCTGTCGAAACAATATGTTGAAAGTCGCCATCCCTATTCCTGCGCAATTTTTCCCTGTGCCGACTTCTACATGTCAGTTCCCTTACCCCGTTTTTATCGTACTATCATTCGCACTTACCTCCCTGTGCCAACCAGTGCGCTCAAACTTTGCAAAAATCGATGACATCGATAAAAGTGATAGATAATTTTGGGAATCAATATTGTATAGTAGACGTCATCCGTCTAGTCACCTCGGTGCCGTGTGTGCTATTGCACACAATTTTGAAATCCCGGATGAGGTGCGGGGTTCGCGCCGTGCCGTACTTGCACCAAGTACGCGTACGGCTAAAATTCGACGCCAAATTTTGCCGGTTTTTCTTATTCCGGTGCTTTTTTTTTGTTTTTGGCTCCGCGCACGTCTGGTTTTTGATGATTTGTTATCTTTATACCGTGCGTTGCCGTTTTAGATCGCAAATTTTAAAATTTTTCACTTTTGATTCCAGGTGAGAGCGGCAAATGGGCAATCCTGCAGGATTTCAAGGTAAGTGTGCTTTCTTCAATATTGTCGGATGTAGAAAGAGTAGAGTGTCTCTTGGGAAGTACGAGTTTTTGTTTAAAGCAATCCCACTATAGACTTAGAAGAAGCTTTCCAAGAGGAACTCGGTACAAGACGATTTCAGTGAGGAGGAAGTTGAAACTCGTATTGTCTACGAGATACTCTATTCTTTCTACACACGACTATACCGAAAAATACACTTCACAATCCTGCAAGATTGCCCACGCGCCTTCCTTGCCTGGAAGCAGAAGTGATAAATCTCAGGATATCCTATCTAAAACGGCAATGCACGAGTATAAAGGTAGCAAATCTTTGAGAACGAGACCATGCGTGCAGAAAAAGTGCTTAAAACGAAAAAAAAACATCAAAATAAGAAAATCGGACAGTTTGGCGTCGAATTTCAGCCGTATGCGCACTTGGTGCAAGTACGGCATGGCGCGAACCTCGCACCTCATCCGGGATTTCAAAATTGTGTGCAATAGCACACACGACACCGAGGTGACTAGACGGATGACGTCTACTATATTCGTACATGCTCACTTATCCCCCCCCCCGTGCCAACTCACATCCCCGTAGGTAGAACTCTGCAAAAAATCGATATCTTATATATTAAGCTGAATGTCTGTTTGTCTCTCTGTCTGTCTATATGTATGTATGTCTATGTGTACGTATGTTCCGAATAGAAAATTCCATTTCTGAACCGATCCGGACCAAACTTTGCACACATACACTTCGGGCCCCGGCGGGTGTCATAGGCTACTTTTCGTCATCGATCGATATCGATTTTATCGACTTTTGCAAAATTTAAGCTACGGGGCTGAGTTGGCACAGGGGGGTAATCGAGCATGCTGATTACGAATATAATAATGACAGGGCCGGACGGAGCCGGGTAAGTCAACTACTAATCGATAAAATCGATACCGACTGATGACGAAGACTAGCCTATGATACTCGCCCCGCTCCGAAGTGTACGTGCGCAAAATTTGGTCCAGATAGGTATAAAAATGGAGTTTTCTATTTGGAACATACGTACACTTAGACATACAGGCAAACGCACATTCAGCTTTGGCTGCGTTCATAATGATCTTGAGGTTCAGGAACAGTTCCACACAGCGCTCATTTCGAGCGCTGTGCTGAGTTCCCGAACTTCAACATCAGTATGAACGCAGCCTTTAGGCTGGGCGAGCGGGTTTTCCAGCACAGTGCTGGCCAAATTCATGGGACCACCATGAAAACTGCCATAGCTAAAGAACTTCCATATCCCGTTTTCACAAAATCCGGGCATGTACGTGTCTTCATTTTACTTTTGTGTCATACAGGTTCCATAAGTGGTCTTCATTTCCAAATTCAGGCCCAACTTTTCGACGTCTTCGTCTTCCACCGGTATGCGTGAAGTCCGCACCGGAAATGAGTGGTCGCGGCGGCGTCCTTCTTCTGGCTGGCCAAAACTATAGGTTCACTAAAGTTTCCGTTTACAAAAGTAATCCTTCGCTTCCAAAGTCTTTTGTGCATGTACACAGTGAAAAGTCAACTGTTGCCTATGCCATACTTCATAGAAAACGCTTATTCGTTTTTTGCTTGATAAAACGTTTACTCGCATTTTGTTCTAAAAAGCGTGTTTATAGCTAATTCCGCCGTTTCTCAACAAGTTTGGAAGCGATAGGGTCCCATTTATATCATAAACTAGATGGCTTACCCGGCTCCGCCCGGTCCTGTCATTATTTTATTCGTAATCAGCATGCTCGATTACCCCCCTGTACCACCAGTCCCGTAGCTCAATTTTTGCAAAAAATCGATAAAATCGATATCGATCGATGACGAAAAGTAGCCTATGACACCCGCCGGGGCCCGAAGTGTATGTGTGCCAAGTTTGGTCCGGATCGGTTCAGAAATGGAATTTTCTATTCGGAACATACGTACACACAGATATACATACATACAGACAGACAGACATTCAGCTTTATATTAGGTTGTCCCGAAAGTTTTGTCGGTTTTTTCAAACCACTGTAAAACCACGCACAATAAAGACTTGAGTGAGTTTTAACATGCATTCGATGCAGCTTTTCCTTCTCTTTCTTACGGATACATTTTCATACCATAATCTTGTGTTTTTTTTTGATAATTGCCAAAATTCTCCACCTGTCAATTTTACCTGCTCAATGTTAGGCTAATTTTTTAAAGATTCATTACAAAGTCTCGAAATGCATTAAGTATGGATCAAATGAAGCAACTCTCGGACTATAAGCAGGTGTTTTTAGATCCTTCTAATCTGCTGATTTTAGCTTTAAAAGATTATTTCTCCGGAGGTCTCGATTTTTTGCAAAGTCATGAAGCACGCAACTGCATAAAAAGACGAAAGCTTTTGGCGTTTGTGCATATTGAAACACAATTCTTACTAAACATCATTTATGCAATATGACCAACTTTGATTCGCTTCGAAAAAGCAGCTTTTTGGAATTTTTGGTACTTTTACGTGTTAAACTTATTCAGAAGGCCGTGGTTTTTAATAAATGAATAATTATAACGGACTTGGTAAGCGCGCTTCATGTGAGCTAAAATGGATACAATGTAGCCAAAGGTTTGCTCTACATAACAGTTACCAGCGCCCTTTGAAAACATCGGAAAAGAATTCTAAAATTCAGGAAAGATTTGGCGTTACTGCTGAGCTGCTCAAAAAGCCATGACGGTAACATTGCAAAGACAGGATAGATCAAAAAGCAAGTATAACTGCAAGAAAGAGGATAAAAATTTCAACCAAATGGTGCCTAAGCCGTCTTTGGATTGGTGTTGTGTGAATTTTAGTGAGCGATGAAAGAAACCGACAAAACTTTCGGGACAACCTAATATATAAGATACTTAACGAGCCTTAGAAACAAAGCTTGTGTGTTTGTAGCTGGAACGCACCTAGCCGCAGGCCTGCGCTCAAATCGCTGCTTCATATTCTTTCTGCAAACTTCACGGGTATGAAATGGAGCAATGGCACTGTTTGAATATATGGGATCCGTATGTAACGGTCTCACATTTCGGTAGATCCTAGCATGCAGGCTGATTGGGGAAATAATCCTGCAAAAACTGATTGCAACACGTCTTGAAATTATTCTGGTTCTGACCCAAAATCCTCATGTGAGTCACGAGGCAACATACAATACAGGGTGTTTCCACTATAGTGACAGTTGGATAGTCACAAAAATCAGGAAAGGTAACATTTGATGGGAATTTTGACTTTTAGCATTAACACTGAATGCAAGACTTAGCGAACAACCGAGAGTGTCTATACTTCCTTTGTGAAAATAATGCATTTACTTTATTTTGAGCTCACAAAAATGGCGTAGACTGATTTTGAAGGCAGAAATTCGAGCGCAGTCCTGCGGTTAGTTTTATTTCGGGGTGCCTTAACTACAAAAACTCAAATTTTCTCTCTCGTGCTCACTCGCTGAGCATCTGTGAGATAAACGAAGCCCTATCGATTCTAAACTTGCGAAGAATTTGCAGAATCTTATATATAAAGTTGAATGTGTGTTTGTCTGTCTGTCTGTATGTCTGTATGTCTGTGTGTACGTATGTTCCGAATAGAAAATTCCATTTCTGAACCGATCCGGACCAAACTTGGCACACATACACTTCGGGCCCCGGCGGGTGTCATAGGCTACTTTTCGTCATCGATCGATATCGATTTTTTGCAAAATTTGAGCTACGGGGCTGGGAGTTGGTACAGGGGGGTAATCGAGCATGCTGATTACGAATAAAATAATGACAGGGCCGGGCGGAGCCGGGTAAGTCAACTAGTTACCTATAAAAACACACTTTTTAGAATACAGTACAATTGAAAGTATTAGGTTGTTACATAAGTCTTGTTACACTTAAATTCTAACGGTGACAAGTCATACACCTCATAGTCTTTACAGGGCTCCAAGGTACCATTCGATAGAGCAAAGCAAGCTCTACAAGAAGGTCTGCAGAAGTTCGCACCAGCTCCGACCCACCGTAATTTTGCACCCAAAATCTGAGTAGTATTGAAGATTCAAAAATCGTGAAAAATTCATATCTTTGTTCAGAAAAATCCTACGAATCTCCAACTTGCCCACAAAAAAATTGCCCACTATATCAAACACTCATACGTACTGTTGCTGTAATTTTTCCTTATCTAGAAATCGAGAAAAAAATTTTGTTTAGTTTTTGCAAAAACAAAGCTATGCGGTTTCTATTCATGCAGCTGTATACTACAAGCCCTTTCAAGTATAACCGTAAATTTTCAGCTTTCCAGAAGCCCTAGTTTTCGAAAATTACCTAATTTAGCATTGCACACCCGAGTGGGAGAAGCAAAATTTGGTATTTTTCGAAAACCAAGACTTCTGGAAAGCTGAAAATTTACGATTATACTTGTAAGGGCTTGTAGTATACAGCTGCATACATAGAAACAGCATAGCTTTGTATTTGTCAAAACAAAAAAAAATTTTTTTCTCGATTTCTAGATAAGGAAAAATTACAGCAACAGTACGTATGAGTGTTTGATATAGTGGGCAATTTTTGTGGGCAAGTTAAAAATTCGTAGGATTTTTCTGAACAAAGATATGAATTTTTCACGATTTTTGAATCTTCAATACTACTCAGATTTTGGATGCAAACTTACGGTGGGTCGGAGCTGGTGCGAACTTCTGCAGACCTTCTTGTAGAGCTTGCTTTGCTCTATCGAATGGTACCTTGGAGCCCTGTAAAGACTATGAGGGTATGACTTATTGCCGTTAGAAGTTAAGTGTAACAAGATTTATGTAACAACCTAATTTTCAAGTGAAAATAAGCGGATTTCTCTATAGGTATGGCCAGCTGGACTAGAGCATGTTTTGATTTTTGACTATGTATCGTCGAGTCATTCGTAACTCAATATGCGTAGTACACATCAAACACGCTAACTGACGCACACCAAAACTAGAACCTACTCATTTCCAGTAATTTCTGCTTGTTTCCTTGTTTCTTTTGTTTTTGTTGAATATACGTTAGTCAATAGAACACTTCTATATTTTGTTAGGCTAGAAGATATTTCACTGGAAAGTTACCAGTAAGGGTGCCGTCGCTAATAGGCCTCAGTGTGCAGTCTCACATATTATGTTACAAATGACTAGAGTTTACGTGCACAAAAGCCTTTGAAAGCCAAGAACTGCTTTAGTGGGTAGAAACTTTAGGTGGACATATAGTGTCAGTTTTGGCCAGCCCTCTAGCCTACCGTTTTCGAAAAAAAATTTCCTAAATAATCAGAGGAAAGCGGGACCGCTTCTAGTTACTGACACAGTAGCCTGTTAAGCACACAGCTGTACCAAATTTAGCTACGGCAGTTTTCAGGGTAGACCTTACAGTCTTGGCCAGCACTGTAGTATGTTCATCTTATATATAAAGCTGAATGTCTGTTTGTCTGTCTGTCTGTATGTCTGTCTGTATGTCTGCACGTATGTTCCGAATAGAAAATTCCATTTCTGAACCGATCCGGACCAAACTTGGCACACATACACTTCGGGCCCCGCGGGTGTCATAGGCTACTTTTCGTTATCGATCGATATCGATTTTTTGCAAAATTTGAGCTACGGGGCTGGGAGTGGTACAGGGGGGTAATCGAGCATGCTGATTACGAATAAAATAATGACAGGGCCGGGCGGAGCCGGGTAAGCCATCTAGTAGAAAATAATGGTAACTAAATGATGTCCCAGAAAGATGTGCACGCTGTCTGTTTGATCTTTGATAACCCGCTTGCTTCAATGTCTTTTGTTGACATTTAAGTACCATTCTGTAGAGCTGGCTTCACCTTAGCATTACAGGGAGCGGATTCCCAATCTTTCTTTGTTAGTGTAGATCAGTCCAGAACTATGAAGGGGTTTTTAAGCGTCGAGAGTCGCATCACAATTCTCCCCCTTTTTTCCAAATTTTCTCATTGAACGGTCTAATTTACCATTGCGCAATATGCTGAATGTTCCCATCGTGATCTAATATATAAAGAATCGTAAGCGCAAGTCAAAAATGTGCAAATAGCGGGAAGCTGCGGCGCGGTCTCGAAGCGAACGCTCTTGCAAATAGCATCTTTAGATTGCTGGTTCACTAGCCCTACAGTAACGAAGAAATCGGAGATTCGCTCCATATAGCGAATCTAAGTTGAAGCCAGCTCTACAGAACAGTACCTAAAGTTCGACAAAAAACATCTAATCAAGCGAATTACTTAAAGGCAGTACATCGGCAGAATAAAACCCGTGACAAAACAAGGTCACAGGGTAGGAGCCCCCATATGGAACCTATCGGCCAAAGTTCGATCTTTCTCTGCCACTTCTAACCCCCGAAATTTCAAAGCGAAAGCAGCGCTCATCTCCTGTCCTCTCCGAACCCGCCCACACCATGGACGAGTGAATTCCGCGGCCAGAGCGCCAGCCGCAATGCTATAAGCATGAGGTCCCGTAACGACTCTGCGTCTTCGCCATGACGGGCTTCGCGTTCACTCGTCCATGGGGTGGGCGGGTTCGGAGAGGACAAGAGATGAGCGCTGCTTTCGCTTTGAAATTTCGGGGGTTAGAAGTGGCAAAGAAAGATCGGACTTTGGCCGATAGGTTCCATGTGGGGGCTCCTACCCTGTGACCTTGTTTTGTCACGGGTCTCATTCTGCCGATGTACTGCCTTTGAAGGCAGCGGCTCGGCAGATTGACCTACCTCAGATTTTGACACAGATGGATAGGAGGCCCTCCAAGTGAACCAAAACAGCAACTCCGCGCCGAAAATGTGAACTCTGCAAGCCAGGGGGCGGCCCAAGCGCCGCTTCCCTTCCTCCTTTCGCTCCCCTAACACCTTGTTCAGACGAGTATTCTCCGATAGACGGCGCAGGACCCCCCCAACCGCTTTCCCGCACTGTGCATGCTATACAAAGCCAAAATTACAGGCAGCAGGGTCTTCGTGCCAGGGCTTCCCGACTTTCCTGAAAATTCTCGTCCGAGCTGCCTTTTGGAAATTGAAAAAAAAACGCCCCGAAGAAGGCCTTTTCACCGCTTTTAAAGCTCAGATTCGGGATCTACGGGCCGAGAAGGCCCAAAATATGCAAAAAGATGGAAATGCAAAATCTGCCGAGCCGCTGCCTTTAAGACCAAACAGTGTGCACATCTTTGTGGGACCCCTATAGAATTTCGATACGATTCAATGACGCCACAAATGCGCAGTCTACGTACTTGTGAACACATATAGATTATTACCAGTGCGTCACCTCTGCTTCGCAGAAGCTCCCACTGGCTCTACTATCTATGTGCCCTATTCATTCTCGTAAAATCGTACTAAAACTCACCGCGCTATGCCGACTACCAGAATAATATGTAAGTAGTTACTCATTTAGAAAAAGCTTTTTCACGTGAGATCGGTGATTTCGCGTGGATAAAACTTTTCGCAGGAAGACAAACGCAAATTTGAATAGGTTTTTGAATTTGTCATGGCTTGGTAGTCGCCGTAAAGGCAATAGCCTTGAGCTACATCTCTATGCGAAAATCTTCTCAAATGCTTGGCTAGAAGCTTGGCAAATTGACCATTTACGCAAACCAATTCTTTTTGGCGCCGTTTTCGTTATGCAGTAAACTTTTGACCACTTTTCGGGCTAAGGTCCATCGCTTGCACATTTGCTAACCAAACACACCCACGACTTTGCAAAAAGTGGTGATACGGACCCAATTTTGCGGCACAGAAGCCAGGTGGATCCGTTTGACGCCAGTTTCTGAGGGATCCACCCAACGAATCTAATCGTGCGCTTTTGCGTGTCAGACTTTCATGAAGGGAGCAAGCGCTATACAAAATTTGGACTTAGCTGGCTGGAATACGCTCTACGAATTTCGTAACAGACGGACACACACAAAAAACAGTAAACAACTCTTAGCCCGTTATTATTAGGTCTTGATAGTTGAAACGACCAAAAACTTTCGTCGAACGAATCTTCGAATAATCGGCTTTTGAAAAATATTCGAACGAACGAATATTGGAATAAATGGTGTTGGTCGAATATCGAATATTCAACTATTCGAATAATCAAATAATTACATATTGTCGAATATTCGATTATTCGAATATTCGAATAATCATACTTCGAATATTTGACTATTCGAATATTCGAATAATCATACCTGTTCGAATATTCGACTATTCGAATATTCGAACAATCATATCTGTTCGAATATTCGACTATTCGACAAATTCGAATAGTCGTAACGAATGTTCAGCTCCAACTATGATATCCATCCATAGTTATTTGAAGTGTTTCACGAGATGTTGGGATGCGGTGCACCTCACCGGCACCAAATTTTCTGTCTTCTCAAAAGTTCCACTAAAAAGCGCCTTCGAAACTGAAAATTTGTGTTTAAAACAGGTTGACTAGCTGTTTGTTGTTAAGAGGGTTCCAATCTGTGCTATTAGTACCGGCTAGCTCAACGCACCATAAAACATCGTCAGTCATCAGAATAATGGAACTTGACGCGTTTGATCCACCTGGCCTTGTTCAGAGCAGATCTTACCGAATACGTAGACAATGGAGTCGGTGAATCTCTAGAGGAACGACAGGCATTGCTGGAGGAGTTGAAAGCCGAATATATGAATTTGCTTGATAAGGACAAGCCAGAGCTTATCTTCGTTCAGGTGCTTGCTTCGCAGTAGTACTATTAGTTCACAATCAAGTTATGTACACCTTTTGAGAATGAAACAGATGCTGTGGAAGGGGATACACTTGAAGATCTTTTACGCAGACATGGACCCTTCCCTTTGGAGGAACACATAGCAGCGAAAATTTTAAGAAGTACGCATCCTGGTTTGAATACCTTTGAATAAGATTAAAAACAGGCGTCAGCTCCGCTGTTATGTTTCTACACAGTCGTGAGGTCGTCCACGGTGGACTCGACTTCAATTCAGTCATCGTCGATTCGCATTTCAACGCAAAAACAATCATAACTACAACCATTTATCGCACAAAACGTTCCTCGTTAGGGTAAGAGCAATGCGCTGAATGAAAATTAGACATGAGTATCTTTTCAGTGTTAAAGCCAAAGTAGAGGATGTTTTTCATGTAGGACTGCTTTTATATCGCATGATAACTGGCAAAACAGCAAAGTTTGACAATGTAAGTCCGCTAAAGTGTGCATATCGTCCTCCTTTACGAACTTTTGATCGCTGTATAATATGTTCTAGGAAGGTAGATTGATCGGCGGTCCAAGTCCCTATTTGAGAGTGTCAGAAAAGGGGCTGAAACTGGCTGAATTTATGTTAACGAAGAGTGTAAGGTAGGTAAAGCATAATATTAATTTCCTAACGATCTTTCATGAAATTCGTTGCAAAAACTGGATGAAGCAAATCTTTTCGAGAAGGTAGTAGGGTAGTCTCTTTATTACCCGAGGAGCGTGGTAAGTAAAAAAAATTGAAAAGAAATATTTAACACGAAAATTTCCATTCATCAAACGAAAAGTGAAGTCATTTTGTCACTCTCCCCACATAAATTCTGATTTTCTTCTTGGTAGTAAACCTTGTTCTTCAGCTTAGGATACAACTAAAGTACCGAAGAAGCCCAAACCTCATTCTCTGCGCTTTGTTACAGCTACGGATGTTACAAAAGCCTCCACTTGTTTGTCATTTCTCTCTTTCTTTACTCGATTTTCGTCCAATCATCGTTCGCCACAAAAGAAATGTCCCCTCTACAAATTATAAAGAACATCGTAATTTTTTTTGCTGCGCAGTGGATATTCATTTCCAAATTTCCAAGGTGCCACCCTGTGCCAAGTCCCGAATATTCATCATCAATAAATTTCCATTGGTAAGGAGGCTGGATTCACTGATTCATCAATAAATTTCCATTGGTAAGGAGGCTGGATTCACTGATTGGATAGTGACACAAAATTTTTCAAAGTAATTACAAACACTGCCTTGAAATGACTCATTTGTAAAGGTGCTTGTGATCCGATTTGTGAACATCAGAAAAAGAATTAGATCTAAGCTCGTATACCTGATCCAATATAAGTAGATACTTATTTAAAGCACAAAAAAGCGCAACTTTCATAAACCATGAACTTCGTCATAAATCGAAACTTATGCTAGCGGTTTTCAGATTCCCACCAACAATTGGACGTGTTCGATATAGCGAATGGCTAGAGGAATGCGAGGACAACCCACCAGTATTCGTACTTTTCCCAGATTACGTCCCGGAGTAGTCCAACGCAAACCCCTGCGCAACAGGCAGTGCATAATAAAGCTATTTATTCTATAACAAACTCTTCTCTTCATCTTCTAATACATCCATAGGCACAATACTGGGGCGCACGTTCCTGTATGTCCTCAGAAGGGCTCGCTTCAGCTCTCCAATATCTCCGAGTTTGGCAGAAGCAGGAATGACATAGTCAAACTGGAGTGGATTACGAGGACGCATCTCTTCCGGCAACTGCAGTGGCCAATCAAACTTGCGGAACATCTCAGCCAAGCGCATGGGTTTCTGAATTCCTCTAAAATGTATCGCTGTCAGATAAGAAAAGCAGAGAGACTTACCTTCTCATCAGGGACGATGTCGATTTTATTTAGAACTAAAAGCGCTGGTTTTTGCACTAACTTTTTACTGTAATTTTCAAGTTCAAGGTTCAGCAGCGCAACAACTTCTAGCGGAGTCCTGAAAAATTTGACATTTCAATAATGAGCAGTTAACATTCATCCGTCCATAACAGCCTATATCTTCTGACTGAGACTGTCATCGTAACTTACAATTAGTTCACGCTGCATTTTGTGAATATTTTCCGAAGTAAAAAAAAATTGGATCAACTCCGCGTCTAGTAATATATCCCATCGCTATGTGGGTACTATACTTGGGTAATTCGAAAATTTTTCATCGAATGAATGAATATCGAATAAATTCGCAAAGGAAAAATTTCGAATAAACGAATATCGAATAAATTCGAAAATAAAAAATTTCGAATAAACGAATCCTTACTATAATATACATTCGATCATTTCAAGCGCGACGGCAGAGTTTTCTGCGTCCCTCCTATCCTTAACCCTAGCGTGACGGAGGGTGCAGTCGCTGAAGGAATCCAGAAAAAGGAATCCTTACTATAATATACATTCGATCATTTCAAGCGCGACGGCAGAGTTTTCTGCGTCCCTCCTATCCTTAACCCTAGCGTGACGGAGGGTGCAGTCGCTGAAGGAATCCAGAAATCCTTACTATAATATACATTCGATCATTTCAAGCGCGACGGCAGAGTTTTCTGCGTCCCTCCTATCCTTAACCCTAGCGTGACGGAGGGTGCAGTCGCTGAAGGAATCCAGAAAAAGGAATGCGAAAATATAACGGGGCTCAGTGATGGCGAGAAGAGAGGCCAGTAGCCATTATGCCGGCGAGAGATTCGCTCGCACTATGGGTCCCGTGCGGAGCGGAAATTTTTCAACATTGAGCTAAGCGGCTACTATTTAGCACAGGGGGTGTATGTGTGAAGGTTGATCACAAAAACATTACATTTGGAATTACCGATAATCTATATGCGGTATATAGATAGTCATTACTCTGGGCAAGAGATTGTTGTTGTGTTTCTGTCACAGTGGCTCTCGCCTATGGGGTACGAAGAAAGTTATTGATCGATTGTGTCATTTTGTACTGTCGTGCACGCATTCAAGCAGTATTTTGTTACCTACTGAAGCTCACGGCTCTTACTTGACTCTTCATGGGACATTTCTTCACAAAAAGTTAACCTTCTGCTCAAGTAACGCTCCCAATTTTTGTCAGCTTGAAGGGAGCTGAAGCTTTTCTATTCAACATACAAATAATCAGCATAGCATACTGCCCTCCTACTTCCATAATCATTTTGACTGGAAAATTGGATTGGATTTACACTATTGATGATGCAATGATGCGTTTTTTCCACAGCTAGCGATTAAATGCATAAATGGTTAATGCACAAACAAAATAATTGTCATTATAGAGTTTTTCCATGAGTTCGAGACCGTCTTATGCATGATTAGCTTCGATTTGTTCAACAAACGCTGTATTGTGATCACCAGGCTTCTGCGATAGCCGAATTTTCCGGATTTTGACTATGTCGCGTAGTTTAGTACGTCGTCCGACAACCCATTGCAATCTTTCTTAAATGAACGCAACTCCACACCCTCAAAGGAAAAAGCAGTTGAGAAATGAAAGAAACATGGTCCCCTTGGAAGGGACTAGGGACTTTACGCGGCACGCACTTTTTTTCTAACGAACTCCAAGGGCTCACAAACAAACTACCCTTGGTTTTCTTTTCGCTGAGAAATTCCTATTTTTGCCCAAAAAGAAAAGAGCAGGGCGAATATGGTCCCCTTGGAAGGGGCCAGGGACTCTAAGGGCTCGATTTCGAAGTTCCAAGGTTTTACTGATAAGGTTCGAAATTTGTCGAAAGAACTTTCGGTTTTTTCACTGAGGAATCCCTATTTTTGCCCAAATAGAAAAGAGCAGGGCGAACGTGGTCCCCTTGGAAGGGACAAGGAACTTTATGCGGCACTCACTTTTTTCTAACGAATTCCTAGGGTTCACATACAAACTACCCTTGGGCTTTTTTTCACGGAGAAATTTCTGTTTTTGCCTAAAAAGAAAAGAGCAGGGCGAATATGGTCCCCATGGAAGGGACAAAAGACTTTATGCGGCACGCACTTTTTTTTTCACGGAGAAATTTCTGTTTTTGCCCAAAAAGAAAAGAGCAGGGCGAGTATGGTCCCCATGGAAGGGACAAGGAACTTTATGCGGCACACACTTTTTTTCTAACGAACTCCAAGGGCTCACAAAAAATACGTTTGGGGTTTATTTCACTGAGGAATTCCACTTTTGCCCAAAAAGAAACGAGCAGGGCGAATATGGTCCCCTTGGAAGGGACCACGGACTTTATGGGCAATTTGTCTGTAAAACATTGGAACTTCGAAATTTTCGAATGTCGAAAGATATTTTAGTTTTTCTCACTGAGAAATTCCCACTTTTGCCCAAAAAGAAAAGAGCAGGGCGAACATGGTCCCCTTGGAAGGGAATAGGGACTTTAAGAGCGCGAAATTTTCGAAGTTCCAAGGTCTTTCAGATAAAGTTTGATGTCGAAAGAAATTTAAGGTTTTTTTCTCAGGGAGGAATTATTTTTGCCCAAATAGAAAAGAGCAGGGCGAGTATGGTCCCCATGGTCCCCATGGAAGGGACAAGGAACTTTATGCGGCACGCACTTTTTTTCTAACGGACTCCAAGGGCTCACAAAAAAAATACGTTTGGGGTTTATTTCACTGAGGAATTCCACTTTTGCCCAAAAAGAAACGAGCAGGGCGAATATGGTCCCCTGGGAAGGGGCCAGGGACTTTAAGTGCGCGAAATTTTCGAACTTTCAAGGTTTTACTGATAAGGTTCGAAATTTTTCGAAAGAACTTTCGGTTTTTTCACTGAGGATTCCCTATTTTTGCCCAAATAGAAACGAGCAGGGCGAATATGGTCCCCTTGGAAGGGACAAGGGACTTTAAGTGCGCGAAATTTTCGAACTTCCAAGGTTTTACAGATAAAGTTTGATGTCGAAAGAAATTTAAGGTTTTTTCTCAGGAAGAAATTATTTTTGCCCAAAAAGAAAAGAGCAGGGCGAACATGGTCCCCGTGGAAGGGAATAGGGACTTTACGCGGCACGCACTTTTTTTAGCGAACTCCAAGGGCTCACATACAAACTACCCTTGAGCTTTCTTCACTGAGAATTTTCTATTTTTGCCCAAAAAGAAACGAGCAGGGCGAAAATGGTCCCCTTGGAAGGGGCCAGGGACTCTAAGGGCTCGATTTCGAAGTTCCAAGGTTTTACTGATAAGGTTCGAAATTTGTCGAAAGAACTTTCGGTTTTTTCACTGAGGAATCCCTATTTTTGCCCAAATGGAAAAGAGCAGGGCGTACGTGGTCCCCTTCGAAGGGACCACGGACTTTATGGGCAATTTGTCTGTAAAACATTGGAACTTCGAAATTTTCGAATGTCGAAAGATATTTTAGTTTTTCTCACTGAGAAATTCCCACTTTTGCCCAAAAAGAAAAGAGCAGGGCGAACATGGTCCCCTGGAAGGGAATAGGGACTTTAAGAGCGCGAAATTTTCGAAGTTCCAAGGTTTTACTGATAAAGTTCGAAATTTGTCGAAAGAACTTTAGGTTTTTTCACTGAGGAATCCCTATTTTTGCCCAAATGGAAAAGAGCAGGGCGAACGTGGTCCCCTTGGAAGGGACCACGGACTTTATGGGCAATTTGTCTGTAAAACATTGGAACTTCGAAATTTTCGAATGTCGAATGAAGTTTTAGGTTTTTTTTCTCACTGAGAAATTCCCACTTTTGCCCAAAAAGAAAAGAGCAGGGCGAATATGGTCCCCTTGGATGGGGCCAGAGACTTTAAGGGCTCGATTTACAAGTTCCAAGGTTTTACTGATAAAGTTCGAAATTTGTCGAAAGAACTTTAGGTTTTTTCACTGAGGAATCCCTATTTTTGCCCAAATGGAAAAGAGCAGGGCGAACGTGGTCCCCTTGGAAGGGACAAGGAACTTTATGCGGCACCCACTTTTTTTCTAACGAACTCCAAGGGCTCACAAAAAAATACGTTTGGGGTTTATTTCACTGAGGAATTCCACTTTTGCCCAAAAAGAAACGAGCAGGGCGAATATGGTCCCCTTGGAAGGGGCCAGGGACTTTAAGGGCTCGATTTCGAAGTTCCAAGGTTTTACTGATAAAGTTCGAAATTTGTCGAAAGAACTTTAGGTTTTTTCACTGAGGAATCCCTATTTTTGCCCAAATGGAAAAGAGCAGGGCGTACGTGGTCCCCTTGGAAGGGACCACGGACTTTATGGGCAATTTGTCTGTAAAACATTGGAACTTCGAAATTTTCGAATGTCAAAAGATATTTTAGTTTTTCTCACTGAGAAATTCCCACTTTTGCCCAAAAAGAAAAGAGCAGGGCGAACATGGTCCCCTGGGAAGGGGCCAGGGACTTTAAGGGCTCGATTTCGAAGTTCCAAGGTTTTACTGATAAGGTTCGAAATTTGTCGAAAGAACTTTCGGTTTTTTCACTGAGGAATCCCTATTTTTGCCCAAATAGAAACGAGCAGGGCGAATATGGTCCCCTTGGAAGGGACAAGGGACTTTAAGAGCGCGAAATTTTCGAAGTTCCAAGGTCTTTCAGATAAAGTTTGATGTCGAAAGAAATTTAAGGTTTTTTTCTCACGGAGGAATTATTTTTGCCCAAAAAGAAAAGAGCAGGGCGAACATGGTTCCCTTGGATGGGACAAGGAACTTTATGCGGCACCCACTTTTTTTCTAACGAATTCCAAGGGCTCACATACAAACTACCCTTGGGCTTTTTTTCACCGAGAAATTTCTGTTTTTGCCCAAAAAGAAAAGAGCAGGGCGAGTATGGTCCCCATGGAAGGGACAAGGAACTTTATGCGGCACGCACTTTTTTTCTAACGAACTCCAAGGGCTCACAAAAAAATACGTTTGGGGTTTATTTCACTGAGGAATTCCACTTTTGCCCAAAAAGAAACGAGCAGGGCGAATATGGTCCCCTTGGAAGGGGCCAGGGACTTTAAGGGCTCGATTTCGAAGTTCCAAGGTTTTACTGATAAAGTTCGAAATTTGTCGAAAGAACTTTAGGTTT